AACTGGTTTCAAAAGAAAAGAGAGAGGGAAAGAGAGCACCAAGTAGAGAGGCGGGGTTCTCTTTGAATTCAGAGGCAGGGAAGGAATGATTGGTTAGTGGTGGATTGACGGACAGTCACCCCAGCCCAGATAGGTCCCTCCCAGGCAAACGTACTAAAGGCAGCATGCGAGGTTGTGAAAAGTACAAAAGGCAGCATGCGAGGTTGTGAAAACGTCAACAGAAGTCATTGCAGAGATTATTATACAAAGATTGGATGGTTTTCTGTCATGGATGCCTTATCTCGAACAGAAGTCATTACAGAGACTATTATAAAAAGGTTGGATGGTTTTCTGTCATGGATGCCTTATCTATGCATTTGGGGGTGGGGGGTGCATGAGAATACCCTTAGGGTGTTTTCTGGCTTTACAACTCCTTAATTCTATGATTTCAGACCATGAGACGTCTTCCCAACTTTCCAGGGAGTACGGTTAGGATTGTACTGCTTCTCAATTCTCCATAGGATGTGTCTGTTGCTGGAATTTCTGGGCTGGGGAGACTGTCAATCTATCCAGCACAAATGAATCATTCCTTCTCTGCCTCTGAATTCAAAGAGAGCCCTGCCTTCTCTACGCAGGGCTTTCCCCCAAAGTCTGTTGAAATCTGTTGTTGAAAGCAGTCATGTTTGACAGTTTGCTGTTTGATCTGTTCAATTGTAAGCAATGAAATCTTTTATTCTTTTTCCTACTAATGTTTCAGAGAGAGTTACCGAGACTCTATAAGTGCCAGTTTAATGAAAATAAAAAGGGGGTTGGACTAATCTGGGGAACCTGAAATTAGTCTGCCCTGTAAATCCCAGCACTTTTGCTATGCAGATAGAGGAATTTAACCCGAAGTCCAAAACTCTGCAGCATTTGTTAATGATCTGCTACAGTCCCATACAGAGGATGTTCCTTCAGCTTGCGTTTGAGGGTGGCAGGAATCCACCTCCATGCACCTCTTTGTAGGAAATAGATTCTCTCTCCCGAGGAAGCCAGCCTGTTAATTAGTTGCACTTAATTCCCTTTGGCTTCTTACCCTAATTAATTCCAAACTTTCTGAAGTCTAATTAAACCAGGATTGTTGGGCACTCAAAGGCTGAAATGTCCCATTAGATGGAGCTCATGACTCTGCTTCCACAACATCTTCCTTTGAGCAACAAATAAATGCCTGCTTAAAGAAATCATTCCCCCCCCCCTTTAAAATGTGGCAGAAATGACACCAATATTGTTAGAAAGCAGCCCCAGTTGGGGCAGCCCGGAAGCTTGTGTTGAGGTTTAATGAATAATTATGGAGTAAGAGAGGTCTGCAGACTATGTTGGTTGGCCGCGTGGAGGGCTTGGGACTTGAAGAGTTACGGATGGTCTGTTCCCAGCAAATTTGCTCTTCTTCTCCGTAGCTGGACGTGGCGGCCGACCAGCCTCGGAGGGGACTGGAAACATGTTGCACCTGTTAAACCTGCTGGACAGTTATTATGAAAGATCAGCTTTGAAGAGCAAAGGAAGGAGGAGGGGAGAGATGTGTGCCTTTGTGTGTGTGTGTTTTAAAGAAAAGTTTGTGTGTGTGTTTTAAAGAAGTGTGTGAGCCAGAGGCAGATGGAAAAAACTGACACTGAGAAGAAAAACAGAAAGGCGGAAGACAAGCAGAGGGATCAATTAGAGCCGCCAGTGAACTGGGGCCTGAAACTTTGAGGAGTTAGAAAGCGTCCTGTCAGATATTATGGAGGGAAAGAGGGAGCACTCCTTCGCAACGGGAACCCAACGAAGTGGGAACTCATTAGGAGGTGGAGGGTGAGAAAAAATGAAGTTGGAAGAGAAATGAAGGCATGGCGGAAACGGAATGGGATGAATGACTAAGTTGTGGGAGGGAAGCCTCTGGATTTTCGGGAGATTATGATGGAGAGCGGCTCTCAGCATCCCGCACCGCTCTTAGCACTTAGGGCTGGTGGGAATTTTATCCCCTTGGATTCTTTACCTGCTACATTGCAATCCTCATTTTGCTCCAGGGACTGAGCGCAATCGAGGCCATCGGAAAGGCCGGTGTTTCTCTTGGCCAAGGGCGGTCAAGGTCACTTCGCCTGTGTGGGGCTGGGGAGGCTGGCAGCCCTTGTCCCCTGTGCAAGGTGGACGAGGGTCCCGCAGTGCCACAGAAAGGGAGGACTGGGAATCTGATAGGGAGAACCTGATAGCTTGAACACCCTGGGAGGGTTAAACACAAGTCAGAATTGACTTGATGGCACATAACGATCATTAGTAGTCCCTGGGCGATTGTTTTCTATGCGGAAGGTGGTTCCTGTTTTCCTCCCTTCTCAAAATGAAATTTTCACAACCTCGCATGCTGCCTTTAGTAGGTTGGGCTGGAAGACCCCTTTGTTGGCTACGATGACCGCCAATCTATCTAGTGTCCACCAATAGGTACTTTCCTGCCTCTGAATTCAAAGAGAGTCCCACCTCTCTGCTCAGTCTCTCTTCCTTCTTCTGTCTCTTGGAAGCGTTGCGTCTGTGGAAGCTTGTTGCTGAAAGCAGTCATGTTTGCCAATAAGCTGTTTGATCGGTTGAACTGTAAGTAACGAAAACGATTTTTATTCTTTCTTCTAGTGATGTCTCAGAGTGAGATATTGAGACTGCTAGTGCCAGTTAATGAGAAAGAAAAGGGTGGATTACTCTGGCAAACGTGAAGCTACTTTGCTCTCTAAGTCCTTGCACGTCTGCTGCACAGCTAGAGAAACGTAAGCAGAGATGCAAAACTCTGCAACAATAAAAATCCTGTAAGGTAGGTCAGTCTGAGAGAATGAGTGACTGGCTCGAAGGCTGTCTACTAACCTTCTTAATATAATCTTATTAATCATTTAATATTTGAATCATTCACTGTTTTTACCTTTAATGATGTGTTTTAGGGATGTTAGCTGCCTTGGGTCATTTCTTAGAAGAAAGGGGTGATATGTCGTGTCCTCAACTGCCCTGATCAGCTCTTGTATGTGGAATGTCGTGTCCTCAATTGCCCTGATCAGCTCTTGTATAAACTCAACCTTGTGGCTTCCTTTAGGGAGCCAGTCCATCTCGTATTGGGCCTTCCTCATCTCCTGCTGCCTTCGACCTTTCTCAGCATTATTGTCTTTTCCAGAGAATCCTGCCTTCTCCTGATGTGCCCAAAGGAGGACAGCCTCCGCTTCAACATTTTTGCCTCTAGATATATTTCAAGCTTGGTTTGATCTAGGACCCACTGGTTTTCTGGCAAATATCTTTTCAAGCTTGGTTTGATCTACTGTAGGACCCACTGGTTTTCTGGCAAATATCTGCAGTGTGTGTACTGAAACCATGAGCAGGTCTAAACCTAAGGTTATTTTTTTTGTCTTGTTGATCAAGGAACCACTCAACTCAGTTCAACAGTGCCTGGAGCATCACATCTTGCCCAGTTCTGCTGAACCTAATAGTCTCAAGGACGTTCACAGAGGTGAAGTCAGAAACGAAATAGCAATGCATGCTAGCAAGTGATATGAGGCCGAGAGGGGACGGATAGGCAGATGGATAGCATCTTGTCATCTCTAATCTTCCTTTAGATTGCCACTCCTATGTTACTTCCCTCCTCCTTCTCTCTATGAGATCACTTCCTGCTTCTCCTCCCCCCCCCCCTTAGCCGCAATGGTGGCTGAGCAGATCTCCATCTTTAGAAGCCAGCTTTAGGGATTCCTGTGACTGAGATGAGAACTTCCTTTCCCACATTGTCCTTGAATGGATTTCCTGAAGCTGTCAAGAGATTGTTTCCATTTTCCCCTAACCACATCGTGCCAGGAGAATTTTTCCTGAAGACTCCTGTCTTCCGCCAGCGTGAACACCAAATCAACTCACAAGGACATCTTGGAAAAGGAGTGGTTTTGGAGACATTGCCAAAATCTTTGGCAGCTGTGGGAGTAGTCTGTTGCATTAAAACAATAGAGCCACGCAGCATCTTTACAACTATTAAGTTTATCGTGGCATGATTTTTTCATGGACCTGGTTTTCTTTCATTAGATGCCCTGAATCTTGTACCTGAAAATGCCAATTCTAGTCCATGAAAACTTACATGGCAATGAACTTCCATCTTTAAGGGGCTGTAAGGCCCTTTGCTGTTAAAATTAATAAGCTTTGCAGCTTGAGACATGCAAATACCTTACAAACAAGCAGTTATGATAATGATGTTTTGGTCGCCCTCTCTTGATGCGATGTGCTTCTACAAGCAGGTTCGCGTTGCATAATCAAACTGTTATGTGCTTTTAAGCCACCTCCGACTCATAGAGACCCTATGAATGAGCAACCTCCAAAATCCCCTGTCCTCAACAGCCCTGCTCTGCTCTTGCAAACTCAAAAGTCGTGGTTTCCTTTAGGGAGTCAGTCCATCTTGCATTGGGGTCTTCCTCTTTTCCTGCTGCCTCCACCTTGTGGTCCCCCCCCCCGAGAATCCTGCTTCTCAGGACGGGCTCAAATCAGCACACCCTCAGCTTCAACTTTTTTGCCTCCAAAGCTCATTCAGGCTTGATTTGATTGAAGACCCACTTGTTCGTCTTTCTGGCCAATACCTGCGGAGTTCGGACTGAAACCGGGAGCAGGTTCATCGACCGACTGATGTTGGGGCCCCAAGACCTTCCTTGTGCTAATGTGGAAAAGGGGTCATTTAGGGAAATGGGTTGCAATAAATGAAAAAAAAACCATTTGTCATAGAATTAAAGCTTCAACATAGGCACAGTAATCACCATGACCACACATGACAGCAGTGGTTGGTGATAACGAAATGATCTTAGCATGGCTAAACCAATGAGCCCCTGTAGTGGTAGAGGAAGCTAATGGATGAACCTGCGTCATTAGTTCTGGTCTGGAAGCTTCACTCTAGTTGATCTCTCAACGATTCCCCTTCAGGCCCTCCCTTTCTGTCTCTCCCTACAACCTGGCTTCCCTTTGGGCAGAGAAAGGTTGCCAATAACACAGTGGCAGCCCAAAATTGTGTCTTGGGAGGCTGTTTATCACAGGGCGAAGACTGTTGGGTTATCCAAACACACCCCAGAGGCAGTGGGGGTGCTGTGAATTAATTAAAGCCTCCGCATCCCACTGAGATGTTGGGTTGAATTGGGTCTTCGTAGGGGGTAGATGAGAGATAAAGCCATCCGTCACGCGGTGAGCCATGGCTTTCTTATTGCCGGAAAAATCCATGGTTGTTCCCCCTTGGCTGCTTCAGACTTGAGTTCGGGCCCAGCGTTTCCATAAAAGAATCAATCTACGGAGCCTCGCGGGGAGTGTGTTGGAGGGGGTGGAACCGGGAGCCGAGAGAAGCAGCAGCCGAGAACAACATTGACCTCATTCCTTCGGCTATAATGAGAAGAAATAAGAAGCAATTATGGAGAAATGGTAGCGATCTCCCTTGGATTGTTCAAATAGGACAGTTTCCCAGCGGGAAGAGTCCTTGGGGGTCTAGCGGAAGGATGATGCGATCACCCGAATGATGTTTGCCTGCGAGAGCTGGAAGAGTTTTGGCCACCGTTGTGCGCGCGCTGACAGACAGCAAGGGGAGAGATTTCTCTCCAACTTCTATAGGAATAGAAATTCTATTCCTATAAATTCCAATTTCATCCCGGGGGGAATAGGAATCGTGGCAGGAAGATCGTTCGGGAAGCCAAAGGACCAGTGCGCATAAAGCAGGAGAAAGGAAAAAAAGCCAGGCCCACCCGCCCTCAAACGCCAAAATAAAACAAGCATGAAAATATTTGCCAAGTGCGTTCTTGTCTCGTTCCTCTGGGCGAGGATGATGAATTGTCCCCATCTTCTCTTTGGCCGCGACGGAGGTAAGGAACATTTTGGTGCACTCAACGGAGCATTCACACCAGTGAAAAAAGAAAATGAAAAAAAAAAAAACCAGAACTGCTGGAGACATCAGTGGTTTTATGTCCCCAGCGGTGGAGCCTGAGGTTGGGGGTTCGATTCCCCCCATGGGGCTTTCCTGACAGGGGCTGGTCTCCATGATCCAGAGGGTCCCCTTCCAGCTCTGCCATTCTCAGATGACGACGATCAAAAGAAAAAAGGAAAAAAATGTGGACAGACATACCCATGATGTGCGAAATGGTCTATTTTGTGCAAAATTGTTGATTTCGCACAAAAAGTCACAAAGGCACAAATTCTGGATGCTGTATTTAAGCATCTGCAGGGCTAGGGGGTGGGGGTGGGATTGTACGCATTTAAACAACCAGCTGGTTCTTTTTCTCTTTTTCTTGGACTGCACTTTGCGCTTTGCACAGAGAGACCATTTTTACATATGACAGATTTGTCAATGGTGGTGGTGGGGGGAAAGAGACCTGTTGGCCTCCCTTTTGAGGAGAAGGTGCACCATCTCCAGGGCCTTGAAAATTCCTCCAGAAGGTGTCCTATGCATCTTGTAGAAACCATCTAGATGGAGAAGAAACGGAGAAGGAGGAATTTAGCAAAGATTCTTTCCATCTCTACCTTAAGCGAGAACCTGGAAGGAGGGTAGCAAGCCATGGCAGCTAGATCTGCTCAAGATTGCAGATCGCAGGCTGCTGTTCCTCTCCCATCACAGCCAGACTGTTGATTTGTTTGCTCCAACCAATGGTTTTGTCTGAAAAGCAAGGAAGATGTTTGGTCACAGTTCAAACTGGGACATATTTCCAAGACCCATCCATTTCATTTCATGGTATGAATTATGTAAATAAAACCATCAACACCCTTGGATGTTCCAGAAGGTCACAGAACTAAAGAAGATGGCAAACAGGATGCTTCTACCAGTCCTGGAGAAAACCCACTTAATTTTTTCCCTCTTCCCGCCTCCTCCCTTTTTCCTTTAATGGCACCTATTTTAGGTTGTAAGATTTCAGATAGTCACATCTCTTTTCCCCACTCCTTCCTTCTTCCTTCCTTCCTTCCTTCCTTCCTTCCTTCCTTTCTCCCTCCCTCCCTCCCTCCCTCCCTTCTTTCCTTCGCTGTCACTCCTCTTCCTTCCTTCCTTCCTTCCTTCCTTCCTTCCTTCCTTCCTTCTTTCTTTCTTTCTTTCTTTCTTTCTTTCTTTCTTTCTTTCTTTCTTTCTTTCTTTCTTTCCCTTTCCTCTCCTCTTTCCTTCTGTCTTCCTTCCTTCCTTCCTTCCCTTCCCTTTCCTCTCCTCTCCTCTTCCTTCCTTCCTTCCTTCCTTCCTTCCTTCCTTCCTTT